CAAGCATGCTTAGTGTGAGGGATTGCTGAGTTGATGCAATCAACTAGTTTTCCTTAGATAGAAAACTTTTCATGATCTGGTGAACTGTAAAGATCATTGAGATGACATGATGTGAATTGGCACTATTTAAATAAACTGAATTGAATTATTAAATATATAAATTTCTGATCTTAAGTAGGCTGTCTAATAATTAAATGTTGATCTATTAGTCCTTTAATGATAGGTTAGTTTTTGGCGCTCCAAAATCCCAGCAGGCTTTTATTTTGTTAACAAAGCGGAAGTTGTGTCTGTGTGTCTCAGTGTTTTTTGCTCGGTGGAGCCCTGAGCTTCAGGGAATATGCAGACTCTCTGATTTAAGAGGGGGAGGTTTGCAGCTGCCCGGGACTCTCTCGTTGAGGAATAGTACTTATTTCCCAGGAATGGTCAAAAGTATTTTACCGAGAATCATTTCGCTGCCACTTTTCCTTGTGAACAGCGGCACACAGAGCGGTTTTTCTCCTGTTTTTCCCCGAGTTGGAGAACTTTAGGACGCAGTTTCTTCAAAGTGAGGAGCGTAGATTTCATCGCGTGCGAGACGTGTTGGGATAAAAGGACTACAAAAAAAAAAAAAAAACTGCACTCATTAGTTTCTTCTGTGCTGATCATCTTAGGTGAGATATATAAGGTGTTCGGAGCGGGATAAAAAAACAAACTTTAAATACCGACATTTCACTAACGTTTTTTTTTTCCTCCCTGAATCTGGAGGAGGAGGAGGGGGGCACATTCTTTTCGTCCATCGATGAAGTTTGGTTTAGAAATGCGCAAACTAGTTAGCTAGAAGTCGATATCTCGACGCAACAGAGCCTCGATAACGGACCACACTTTAAAAGGCTGGATTCACCATTTTTCTTTTTTTTTCTGGAGTTTTCCTTGCATCTAATCTCAGCTGAGGACTCTTCCTTATTCCTCTGACCAACTCTGCCCGCCATCAAGGTGAGCTGCTAGTTTTATCCCCTCTTTCTCTTTGATTCGTTTGTTTACCTGTTAAAGGGGTTAGCCATTGTTTGCCAGCCTTCCAAGTTAATGCTGTTAATGGGAATTATTTGCTAAAACAGAGGCTTGGAGAAAGGGATTGTTTTTTTTATTTTAATTTTGTTCTTTATATCAGTATATCTTCATGTTTGATATCTTTTTTTGTTTTGCCTTTAAAGGACACTTTTATAAGTGCAATCCAAGCAATGTAGTCACAGCAGATCCTCCCCCATGCTTGTAAATAAAATAACTTTTAAACATAAGATGTCTCTTTTAGCCCTGCTGAATCCAACCATCTCTGAGCCTCTTAGGCAAAATTATATAAAAATTTCTAGATCTGTAAAGAAATTAAATTCTGTTTATTTCTATAGCGCCAATTCACAACACATGTCATCTCAAGGCTTTTTACAGTTCACCAGATCATCCAGTCAAATTGATTAAAAGTTTTCTATCTAAAAAAAAACAGTTGATTACATTCACTCATTGACTGGAATGCAGTCCCTCACACTTAGCATGCTTGTAGCGACAGTGGAGAGAAAAAAACTCCCTTCTAACAGGAAGAAACCTCCAGCAGAACCAGGCTCAGTGTGAGCGGCCATCTGCTGAGGCCACCTGGGTTTCAATGAGAAAGAAACGGAGACACAAAAAAACAACTGTAAAAGGCGGCCCTATCCAGGAAACACACAGCCAGGCAGACGATCTCCGAGCCAGCTCTTATGTCAGAGGGTGAAGAGAGCACATCCAGTTAGTCACAGTCAGAGAAACAGGACTACACTGAAAAACAGGCCGAGCTCCAACATCTATAATCAAAGGTGTTGATGGCAGCAGCACAGCTGATATTTCTCTCCAGGATGGAGTCACAGCCAAACAGGAACAAGCAGAAAGATCAGAACGTTAGAGATTGAATTACCAGATTCTGCAGAGTGGGAGAATAGAGATAGAATGAAGCAAAATGGTAAAATAGGGGTCCCTATGTCCTCCAGCAGTCTACCGTAAGCCTATAGCAGCATAACTATAGAGATAGCTCAGGATGTTAAATATCTACTAAAGCCTCTCGAAAATGTCAGAGATGGGTCTTGCTGATGAGAGTGGTATCTGTGAGTAAAGCTTGCGTTCATGTTATTTAAAGCGTTAAATTTTTTTTTTCTAAAAGGAGAGGCAGCAAGCCAGCAGAGACTACTTCGATAAGAGGGAAAAGAGAGAAATTTTTTTTATAGCATAATAATAGATGAGGAAGAGTCTTGCCCTGTAATTAACCTGGCTGCACCTTAGCATTTAAATATTGAGCTTAACGTAAGTTGAGTTTTTTTTTTTTTTTTTTATTGATCTACAGATTTATCTTTCATAGTTATGTTCCCAATGTTTAAGATTTGGTTTGTTTAAATGTTTTATATCTTATTTCAACATTTGGTGCTGTTTAAAGTGTTGTTTTTTTCTTATGTCAGTTCCTTTCAGAAAGGTTTGATGGGCAAACCAAATGGCAGAGTGTCAGGTGGCTTGAAAGAGGTTTACACTACATTTTAGTATAATCACATGACACCTGATACGCTGCCATGGCATGCTGGGTGCTGGGACCCCCCCTTCCCAATCCCTTTTACTGATAGTGTAGCTGTAAGGGTTAAAAAAAAAGCAGGAAGGTGTCTGTTTTTGTGAAAACAGTAGCCTCAGGCAGATTGGTCTGATGCTCTTGTGTCCATTGGGCTGCAGCCATGTGCAGACTGGCCTCTTGCTAGCTGCAAGTGCAGGCTGAAGTGGAAAAGGGTGGGGAGGCAGGGGTACAGAGTTGGGGAGCTGAGGAATTTTATGCATGGGTGGCAGTGAATGGTGATTATGGTACGGGCTGTGTGATGGGTTAGGCCTGTAACCTTTGTCTTTGTATAATGAGAGCAGCTAAATGTGTCATCCATGTTTTAATCAGTTTAGTCTAACCCTCTTTTTTTATTTGGCGGAAGTCCAAGGAAGAAAAAAATGCTTTAATTGCTTCAGATGGTCGACAACAAAGTGGGATTTTTACCAAAAGTTTAATGATCTACCAGTTACGTAAAGCCTTTTCAGTCAGATTAAGGTTCTCTGGATTTTCCTTTTTTTTTTTCTTTTCTTTTTTTTTCACAGATTTTAAGATCAGGGAATTAAATGATAATCTCTTAATCTTCTGTGACTAAAAGAATTAAAACTAAAAAAGTTAATATGTAAATGTTCCCTGGATATGTAGCATCTTGGTAAGGAGAAAGTAAACAAAGAAAACAGATCATCACCACTCAGATTCCTCTCTGCTATCAAACTCTTCTCATACTGTAGATCTATCAGAACTAGAAATATAACGGTAAAAATAAGCAATGGCTTTTAATCCATCAAACCTGTTTAGACTTGGAAAAAAGTAAAATGTTCCTATAAACTCCAATTGATCAATAAATATTTAATACAAAATCCCCTGTTGGTAATTATTTGTCATGTCTATTAAAAGGTAAATCACCATCATCATGACTGTTTTTGGAATATTATAAACAATTCAATTTCAATTCAGTTTATATATATATATATATATATATATATATATATATATAGCACCAATTCACCTCCAGGCACTTTAAAAAGACAATTTAACCAGATCACACAGTCAGATTGGTTAAAAGTTTTCTAAGGAAAATCAGTTGATTTCATCGACTCAAAGGCAATCCCTCACATCAAGCATGCTTATAGCGACAGTGGAGAGGAAAAACATTCCTTTACTTTAAATAACACAAGCCAACGGTTTCAATTTATTGACAATTAAAATCTTAGATTTATTAGAATACATACAACTTCTGACAAATATTAAGATTTTTTTCTTAATATAATCCTTGAAAAAGCTGACATGGTTGAATAAAGATTTGAATTGTTTTCCTCGGCAGTCAGTCCTTCTAATGAACTTTTATCCATTTACTTTAATACAAATACTGAAAGCAAGAAAATATACAAATGCCCATTTAATTTATGTAATGTCCAATTATAAATATGTATGTAAATATAAATATCTATTGCCAATAAGCATTTTTTTTTCTGTTAAATCACTTGATATGGTTGAAACCTTAATTTCTATGCCGTAATATTGACTTTGAATTCCCATTTGGAGATTTAATCTTAACAAATAACCAACGGAAAAGGTATTCTCCACCTGCGAGCGTTCAGGCCAAAAAGCATAAAAGGCTTCCTGGTAATTACTATGCAGTTGAAGGTCGATTTGCAGAATGTTTTGGATTTCTTTATCTTTTCAAAGAAAGAAGAAGTAAACATCTTCCAATTGCAGTAAAAAATACAAAGTGTTATCAGTTTTAGGGGTTAGGACTCCCTCTGTGACCAAAGAAACAAAATATTGGCTTGCAAGAGTTAAGATAAAGAAAACAAACATTTAAAATGATTGTATTTCTTTTATTCAAACCAAATGAACACTTATCATTTAGTTAATGTAATGTCCAATTATAAATATGTATGTAAATATAAATATCTATTGCCAATAAACCTTTTTTTTCTGTTAAATCACTTGATATGGTTGAAACCTTCATTTCTATGCTGTAATATTGACTTTAAATTCCCATTTGGAGATTTAATCTGAACAAGGTATTCTCCACCTGCAAATGTTCAGGCCAAAAAGCATAAAATGCTTCCTGGGTCTGGATTAGTACTTTCCAGGAACATGTTGTCCATATTTAGATCAAACTTCCACTGGAATGGAATCGGCCGTCATGCCTTTAAAGACTCCACTTTCTCCCATTGAGCTGATTCAATGACGAAACGCCGGGGAAGCATCCCCCTCTCCTCTTTGCAGTTCCTCCTGTGTGGCGATTTTCTTGGAGCGTTATCAAACGTTGACTCACTGCTTACAGAGCTGCGATGACCAAGCTGTCTTTATCCCCTCCGGACCCCCCTCCTTGACCCAGCTCAGCTGCTCTAACACTAGGCCATTCTTGGAAAGTGAAATCGAATTGGTTTTGAGGGGACACACAATGAGTGTTTCAGAGGAGAACATTCATGAAAGCCATTACCTCCACAGCTGCTTCTGTGTGGGGACTTTATGCGTAAATGTCAATCCTGACGTTTTTTCTTTGTTTTGTTTTTTTACCCAGACAGGATCCTGTTGTTGTGAATTTGCTGAATTTAGTTTATTTTGTTTCCGTTGATTAGCTCTAATCTCAGGCTTCAGTTTCTTAGAAATGAGCTGCTGTGACCAAATGGTTGCAGGGTGTCATTGTCGGTGATGTGAGGGGGGAAAAAAACAAGAGTTAAGTGACTAATCCTTCAGCGTGGAAATGATGACCTGGCACCTCTTGCTGTTTACTCAATGGGCTGGATGTCTCTTTTCTTCTATTATTTGTTAAAGCAGTTTTTAAGGGGGGGGGGTGAGGGGTTTGCACAGGTCTTGCTTTGGCGAAGCGTTAAGCTCTGCAGACAGATGCTGCTGAAGTAATGATTTAAACAGATGTTGCATGATGGGGTCACTCATGTGAGTGTTTTCCTGAGGGGACCAGGAATCGTTTAACTCTTTAACTGGGAAAAATACCCAAAAACATACGATAATTACTATGAAGTTAAGGGTCGATTAGCAGAATGTTTTGTTTTTCTTTATCTTTTCAAAGAAAGAAAGAGCAAACATCAGTTTTGGGGGTTAGGATCCCCTCAGTGACCAATGAAGAAACAAAATATTGGCTAGCATGAGTTAAGATTTAAGATAAAGAAAAAAATCATTTAACACGATTGCATTGCTTTTATTCAAACCAAATACCGCTGTAGAAGTCCTAAGTTTTATTATTTGTTCAAGTTGTGTTAACTTAACCACTGTGTTAAGGTTTATGTTATTGTTAATGTTCCTCCCTTAATACAAACATGTTGCTTTGTCTGGTTGTAGAAAAGAGCAGAATAGACTTTAAATTGGGTTGACGATAAATTTAGTTTCTCATTTAGTTCTGTTGAAATTCAACTTAATTGATCTCAAATTGGGAAAGTTTCACTACAGCCTGTCTTTAACTAAAATCCATGACATCTTACATTCTGATTTTGGTTTGCATTTAAACTCTCTGATATAAACACAATGGCAGAAACACTATTATCTGCTAACATTTATACTTTCTGTGACTTTTTGGTTAATGATTAATGGATCGGTTGTTCTCATGCCTTTTCTAAGGGATTGCATTCGAGTCAATGAGTCGATGCAATCAACTGGTTTTTCTTAGATAGAAAACTTTGAATCAATTTGACTGGATGATCTGGTGAACTGGAAAGCGCCTTGAGATGACACGTGTTGTGAATTGGTGCTGTAGAAATAAGCCTAATTGAATTGAAACAGTTTTTCTCAAAATAAATAAAATTATAATTTGATTCTATCATTTCTATCATATCGGTTCAATATCAGCGTCGGTTAATTAAGGAAGCTGCAATATCGGTTCTGTATAGGAAATGTAAATGTTGTATTGCCCCCCCCTGATTTCTGCCCTTACTTTACAAAAACAAGTTATCCTCTCAAAATAAATGTAAGCGAATTATCCAAAGTAGACCTCATTATAGAAGCTTTATGTTGATAAACTATCCCCAATTTAACTTTATTTTGCTTTTCTTATAAACTGAATAAATAAGTCTTCCAGGGTTGTTGTAAGCACCTTTCAGCATAGTGGGCTGATGCGTTAAAAGTTTTCACTACTGCACTGAAATCATGGCAGGTATTTTCTGAGTCTATCAGGCCTTTGGCTGATATCTTTTCTCCCTCCCCGGAAGGTCTTTTCCACCTGCATTTCAAAGAACCAACTTGTTATGCCAACATCAGACCGATGCTATATTATAAGCTTAGCAGCTGCAGAAAACATAATTTTGAAACATGGTTACCTCCTTGTTTTCACACATGAGAGAAACCTGTCTGAGGATCTGGAGTCGGCGCTATGAGAACTTAGACCGCCCATACTGTGAGTTTTAGGCCCCGTCCACACGAAGTCAAAACGAACACGAAACGCTGATATTTTCCAAAACGTTTG